TTAGATTCTAAATGATGCTATACCAATTGAAATTCTCTTTTTACTGTTCTATTTAAGGGCCTAAAACATTTGCTTGCTAAAATGTTTATAGTTAAAAATATACAGAAAAGTTTTATATTAATGTTTTGATTTGTCATTTATGTTTAAATTAAATCTAGAATCCCAATTATAAGTTAAATCATTTTAGATAATACACTTGACATTATGTACTTAAACATTTGCTTAAAATTGTAATTATACAGATTTTGAATAGTTTTAAAAATTAATCTCTGAAATATTCTTGCAGTAGTTCGAGTAATAATTTCTGAAACCACATTCTTTGTACTATTGGCTTTGATTTTAGGTTTTCATTTTTGTTTAAATACAAACTTCAATAAAGGGGATAAGTTTTATCAAATATTATTTACTCATACGTTTTATTTTCATATTACTTCTGAGATTACGCTGAAGATCAAAGCTACCTCCTATAGTTGATGGTAGATGGCTTATTTATGGCGAAACAGCTTTTCAGTGAGTCAGTAGTTGATGACCTTAAAAAAAAATTTTCAGTTGATACTCTAACTTTTTACTCTTTCCTCGACTATACAAATAAATATGATGTAGAAGAGTAATTCAAATTCCAAGTTCATTGTTGGTAATACTGGTGGCAATTTTTTCTTTTGTATTTTGCACTTTGTCTTTTTTTGATTATTGATATTTTAAATGCTTGTTTTTTTATGCCAGTAATATCAACTTTAATATCACTTTAACTTTTTATATTTGTTATTCACTTTTGTTAGATTTTGGCCCAATGCTATATTAATAGGGCAATCTCAGTTGATTTGCTTGACAAGTATACTAATTGCTGAATACCTTTTCAGTTTTTATTCAAATTTTTCTTTCTGAAGGCTAATCTAAACTCATCTTTGCAAATATTTCATAGTGTGTGCATTTAAATACTTTTTTCATTGTACATTGCGTGCCAAATTATTATCAAGATAACTTTTTTCTAATATTTCAAAAACCGTCCAATCAATTCACACAAAATTTTCACACAATGTTGGCAACACTGAGCTGCGCAATCACTGAAATTTTCGTACTGATCTGTGCAATGTAAACAAACTGGTGCCATATTTGTTATCAGCACGGTGATATGAGCTTGCCAAATTATTAGAAAGGTTTAGTAAAATTCCCAGAATTGAGCAAACAAAACGTTTATTAATGTTGAACGTGAATGTTTATGATCAAAAGAAGCTAATAAATAAGATAATCAAACAAATAATAACAGATACAAACAAAGGCACAGTTTTAAACAAATTAATAGGGAATGTGCTTTCCCTGTTTCGAAATTACTTGAAAAAAGTCGACGATCCATAGAATTTGTTAATTGTAGCATGTCATCTGCTGTAATGCTGCGAGATATGTCAAGAATTGCTTCCCACAACTCAGTGTTGCTCCTGAATTGTCATCCATTGGCGTACAGTCTTCACTTCATGATGCTCCAAAGGTTTTCGGTTGGGTTCAAATCTGGAGAATTTGCTGGCTACTTCATTTTTCGAGGTCCATCGAAGCCTGTTTCAAATATTCAGTAGTCTTGTGAGCAGCATGTGAGGGAGCATTATCTTGCATAAAAACAATGACCCTTCTGAAGGCAACTCTTTGCCTTTTCATCCACAGTTCAAGATGCTCCTTCATAAACGCTATGTATGCATCAGCAGTCATTTTGACGCCATCTGGTACTCTCCATGGGCCCACTAATATGTTTCCAATAATACCACCCCAGATCATTATGCCTCCACCGCGTTGTTGGCATCTCAAACACTGATGGCGATTCTGTCTGTTCATTACCCAATCTTTGCACCGTCTATCTGGCCCATCAAGTGTTGCTCAAGTTTCGTCTGTGAACAAAGCTTTAGAGAAGTCAATCTTCATATTGTCCTTGGCCCATTTCAATCGATTTTGAATGTGATTTCTCGTCAACAGTGGCTTCGATACAGGTTTGAGTGTTGTTGCTATTTCCCTCAGATACCGACACCGAGTACTTTTAGACACAGTAGGATCCCCAATACGACTGAAAAGCTCTTGACTGGTAAGTCCAGGGTTCTTCGTGGCCTCTCGTTTGTCGTGAGATGAGACAACGTGAAATAACACTTGGCTTGCCTTTATCTGCCCTTTTGCATACTTGTGTAGGGTTGGCAGTGAATTTTTCACTGTTTGATGACACTTCGCTATCATTTTAAAAATTTCTAGGGTAGATTTACCTTTTGAGAGTTCTGAGGTAATAGTTTTCTTTTCAGCATCACTTAAACTGCTTTTACAGCCCATCTTTTCACTAAATTTTTATACTTTTCTAATAATTTGGCATGCTCAAATCACCGTGCTGATAACAAATATGGCGCCAGTTTGTTTGCATTGCATAGATCAGTACGAAAATTTCAGTGATTGTGCAGCTCAGTGTTGCCAACATTGTGTGAAAATTTTGTGTGAATTGTTTGGACGGTTTTTGAAATAGTAGAAAAAAGTTATCTCGATAATAATTTGGCACGCAGTGTATATTGAAATATTTTTGTTATTGATATTTTTCTGTATGAATGTTTTTGAAAATGATATGTATTGATAAACTTTTGTTCATCATGATTGAATTCTCATGAAACAATAAAAGTTTATAATAGTTAGCTAAATAATGAAAAAAATAATTTAGGTAGGTAGGCAGGCATCAATCTCAGGAGTATCTAGCTAATCCCTGATGCAGACTTCTGCTCAGGCATATTTGTGTTTCTTCAACTGAAACCGAGCCAATCTGTATTTTATACGGTTTCTGGAAAAGAGTGCATAATCTGGTGTGATTAGTCATTGAACAAGTATAGTATGCTCAAACCCTTGGTCATAATGACTTGTGACTTCATTGGTAGCATAATCACCAATGGCTTCCAAAGAGTTTTGTTTATGAGTTTTGTTTATCACAAGGCACACATATATAATTTCCAAGCCCTTCCCAAAGGTACCATAGGCTGAAATTGTCTCCCCAGGCTGATATTATCAAGTCACCTACTTTACAAATTGACTAGAGTGAGAATTTGAATGTTGGTCTCATTTTTGGAATGCTGATGTTCTAACCACTTGACCCTGTGCCTATATATTATTGTAATAGATTGTTAATAATGAAATAATGTTTTCAAATATTTATATATGAACGTTCCATTTATCTTCTGTTTTTATTAGCTTATTTTGAATATTAAAAATAATATTGAAACTGGCTTTCTTTTTAATTAATACTATGAATTGCAGTAGAACTTTTAAAAAAACAATCTTTTACTATTAGACTTTGCACTTGTAGATACTTAGAGAAGTTAAGAAAGGTTATTTTGTGTCTTAAACATCCTTGTATGTTAAACAAATGTAAACACAGACCAAATTTTGTTTATATATCTCTATCTATAAAAGGCAGGGTGTGTGTGTGTGTGTGTGTGTGTGTGTGTGTGTAACGAATGCACGGCCGCAATTTTCGACGGATTTGCACCAAAATTTACATGCACATGCTTCAAGTTAGCGTGAAGGCCAAGACCGACTTTGCATTTCCCAACTCCCATCAATAGTAGAAATAATTGATTTTTTTTATGCTTCTACGGCAGTTTTCATGTAGTTTGCGGCCATTTTGTATTGGCCAGAGTGAGAGCCTATAGCTGGCTGCCACGAATAGGCAGGAAGATTCTATTGGCCAGCGTGAGAGCCAACAGCTGACTGATACGAATGTTAACTAGCATGCAAAAAAAATTGTTAGCTGTATTTGTCACAAGTGGGAAAAATTTAAACCTGCATGGCACTTTACTCCAATTGGCTCATTCGCTTGCTTAAATTCAGCATTGATTCTGATTCCGCAGAACTGGGTTGGGTGTGAAAAAGTATTTGTTGTTAACATTCTTTTTTCATTCAATTTTTCCAGTTACGAGTCCTTTTTTAAAGCTGATCATTTTGTGTTCATTTTGTTTAGTTCTTTTTTCGTAACAGATTTAATGTTTAGTATAGAGCTTAGAAAAAATTCGCAGTGTGAGATAGGCAAGAAGTAAGTCATGTAGCAACATCAGCACGGCAAAGGGCACTTCTTTAAAAGGCAAGGAAGGGCAAAAAATATTTTAAGCCAAGTGATAGCGATTGTTGTATGAGTCATATTTTTTGAATTTTGAATCAAGCAATGCTAACGCTGCTGCTATATATATATATATATATATATATATATATATATATATATATATATATATATATATATATATGCTCAGATCAATAGTCCTATGTGGAAGCTTTCTCTCACTCTCTCTCTCTCTCTCTCTATATATATATATATATATATATATATATATATATAATATGAATGAGTGAAAAATTCCTGATAGTACTATTGATGTGAGCACTTAACTAGAATTTTAACAAAATTATTTCAAGTTAGTACACATTCTATAATTTTTCTTTTAAATAGCACAAGGATTATTATAGAATTAATGCTACAAGTTGCTGCCATTTTTATTGAAATGTTAAATTGTTTTCAAAAGTGCATGGGGGTATTTACTATATTAGTATCATTTGAGAGTCTTTGATAATGATTCTTTTGAGATATTCAGTCTGAGAAGTCTGGTTTTCTCTCAATAGTTTTTCCATTTTCACTTTCAAATATCTTATAATGCTCATTTGTGAAGTCTGTTTTCTTAAAATCCAACCGATAACTGGGTTCATTGTTTAATGAAAACACAACTTTCATTTTGTCTCTTAAGAGATGGACAACTGGAAATCAATTCTTCCTAAGATATAACTATAACAAGTCATTTATTTTGTAAATAGAAAAAATCGTTTTTGTCTCTTTAGTAACATTTTTATAGTATTTAGAAATGTATTTGTTTTTGCATTACTCTCAACTATAATTTAAACCATTTTTTATCAAACTGATTACGTTTGATGAATAGCTTCCTTGTCATTAATTATAGAACTTTCATGAGAATGATTGTTTTGATATATTTTTTTTATTTCAGCGATTTACCAATGAAGATCACTTAACTGTCCACTTGAAGAAACATGAAATGTGCTTGGCTTTAAATTCAGGAAATAACAGTCGAACTCCTAACAACTTATTTTTAGGTAAGTATATGTATTACAAATGTTGAAGGTATTTCTGGAGAAGTTTTGAGTCTATCCATATTACCTTAGACATGGAAAATAGAAAGAGAACAATCTATTCACATAAATAAAGGGTTCAGTTCAAAATTCCCTGAAATTTATCTGGATCCATACACCTGAAGAAGGCTGGAGAGCACAACAGCTGAAATGTTGTGAATGTAACAATAGAGGTGAAGATATTATTCCAAATGAAAATAATGATAACTCCTCATCCCAGAAATTCAGACAGGTACTGATCTTGCTTATGAAATCTCTGCTCTATTGAAAGCCTTCATTGTAGCGCATATAAAAATATTTGAAGCAGATATATTTGCTGCCAGTTTGATCCTAGTTATGCCTTGATGGAGAATTTTCTCATTTCACTCCTTGTAACTTATTCAGTAATACATGTCTTACATACTAATTGCACTCACAATTTCTATTTTACAAATCAAAACACAAAAAAAAAACATTTAAAACATTTTTTTTATTGTTAGCAGATAAAATAAATAAGTTAGCAAAGTAGTGCCTTTCATAAAGCAAATGCCCATATTTTGCAGTCAAATAATCACTGTCTTTAAGTCGTTCTATTTCTATGATAAATGATATAAAATAAATTTAAAGATAAAGTGAAAGGGGAATGAATTCTGCATTTATAGAATCTCTGATATCTATATTGCAAATGTTTTATTATTGCTGTTACCGTTACCATTATTTTGCTTTTATACAGATTAGGGAGACTTTTGCAGGACAGTATTTTCTACTGTTTTTATCCTTTCCTAAATCTCTACAATGTCCTTTAATTTATGGAATAGGTTTTTTGTACTCCGTTAATTCCTCACACACTGTGATATAATTCAAAATAAAACTGAATTCTCAATATATATCTTCATAGAGAGACTCTTTAGGAGCATGAAACAATATATGCACTAAAACTAGTGAAAGAAAGAAAACAACTCCACTTAAACTAGTGATAAAAGTAAGCAATGAAACTACATTCTTTTTAACTTCCTGAATGATTAAGAGGAACTACAACAGTATTTGTGGTGATATGTTTAGAATTTGGTCTTATGAAGTTTCCAGTTACAAATGTGTTTCTATTTCAAAATTTTATTTGCAAAACATAAGCATTTACTGGGCTTATATGGAAGAATGCTCTTGAAATCAGTTTAATTGCCCATATGGTTTTATAGCTGTAATGTGTTTTTGGTTTGTAGGAGCTTGGGCTTAAGCACCAAACAAATTCAACAGTTTGAGTTAGCAGTCATATAACTGTTATCATCCACTGAATATGGGAGATTGTGACATCTTTGTAATGCCAGGATGAAAAAGGTTTCTGAAGTTCATATAACTTATTTCTTTTTCAAACCAAGCCACATACACAGGGAAAATGCATCTGTGGCCCTCTTCTCTTTACCAGAATGATAAGAAATATAACTGAAGCAACTAAAGTTCAATACATCACTACATTATCTTCTCATTCTTGATTTTTCTGTATTCTTTGTTATCAGACATAAATGCAACTGATTACTGATCAGCTTGAAATGATGACCTTTGCAGGTGATGTCATTTCTGAAGAGACGCCACAATAAGGTGAGCCACCTTCTCTACTGCAGAATGTCATTATTAACTGCTAAATAGACTGGGAGCATGTTCACAGGCCTCAGTTTCTACTATAAATTGTACTTTATCATCAGTGGCTCTCATAATAGTCTGCAATTTCTTATTTCAAAAGGCTGAAAGTCTCTAAGGTTCCAGGAGACAATGGAAAGACTGGGTTAATGTCTTAATTTTATTCACTTATCCTTTGAGAGTAATATGCAAATATACCCATGCCCTTTCACAATGACAATATATCTCCAGGTGATAAGAGTTCCAAAATCTCAAGATCTGATTTAATAGAATTGATGAGGTAGCCAAGCAATGTAATATCAACTGACAATAAGTTTTTCTCCTCGTTATTCATTAAACTGTATTTGTTCACTGTCTTTAGAAATTTTCCCAAATTCTAATTGTGCACTTGGTTCTTACCACACATGGTGACATTATGTATATAAATGAAAGTGGCCTCTAGTCCTTATGATCAAATTATGTCATTGATAATAGAATTTAAGTTAGGCATTTAGTAATACCAAAGAGTATACAACAGAATTGATAAAGATGTTTGTTGGCTTTTAAAGCAGTGTAGGTTTTTTTACATTAGTGATTTGAAATGGTATGCACTTCTCAAATCAAGTGTACTAAAAAAGCAGAGCTTTACAAACTTTGATTGCCATGTTGTGAATTCAAAGGAGTAGACATGTTGCTAGTAGCGTGAATTAATTGATAGTTTGGTGTCAGTGAGTCTTTTCTTGTAGTGTCTCCCCACTCCCAGACATAAAATATTTGTACTCTCCAAGGGTCATTCGCATTGACTCGATGATCCCGACTATGGTCTATTCCTTTTTAAGGGTAGTTACTTGTCTCTATAATATATATATATATATATATATATATATATATAATATCCCCTCCTTCAGCAGTCTTTGACTGCAGAAACAACAAAAGATTTATCTGTATTTGAGAAGTACAGTGATTTTCCAGCAATACTTTTACAATTTGTAGCAACATGAACCTAAAAAGAAAAGTGGAATTGTAACAGTAGTAAAAGTATAAATATTTAACTCAAGCATACATCTTCCAGAAGCTATTGATGCTGATATTATTGCTTAATGTGACATTGCAAGTGATTGTTCAGAATAGCAAGCTTTATAGTTGGATGGATATGTCTCTTCAAAGATAGTTCCATAGAGCAGATATTATGAATTTGTGATGAAAGTGATAATAATGCAATACTAATAGAGCTGGTAGTAGGTGTCATATGTAATCTACATTCTTTCACAATTTTGTTGCTCATAAAGCTTTTGTGGCTTCCAGTATCAAATGCAATGACAGAAGAAACACTTATCTTGAGCCTTGCAACCAGAGGGCAATCTTCAGCAGTTGTAGGTTATAGTATACATTTCAACCACTTCAGCACTGATAGATGATGCTTCAGCATAAATTTGAAATCATTTATGAGCTATTTCAAGTGCTATAGTCTGATAAAAGGCTATATTTAAAATGAGAGATTTGTTTTCTAGCAATATCATGTTTATCTGAGAAGGAAATTGTAATTCATTTATCGGAAGTGTCATATTTTTCTTGCAGTTTTCTTCAGCTGTAACAGATCTAAAGTTACAATCTTTGCTTAATAGTCCGAGTGGCTGCAAAAATCGATCAAAATTTTAATGTTGTTAACATCTAGTAACGTGATTGATCAATGAGTTGAGCTTTGCTGAATCATTTGAAGAATGACTTGAAAAGAATCAAAATTTGAGAAAGTTTATGTATTATTGTTCAAGAACTTTTGACCATCTCCGTCATTATCAAGAACCAATGTGCTATCTGTGGTAAGCAGAATTCCTTTGTCTACATCCTGGTATTCTTTTATTTTTTAATCAAACTTGTTTTGATGAATACATGCTACCTAAATAAATAATTCTGCTACCTTGGTTTCAACCTTTCAGTATCTTCAAGTGATTTAGGTCAATTAATTTTTTAATGCCTTATTTTTAAAAAATAAAAATTTGTGAATGCTATATTTTAAAAAAATAAATGAATATGCACATGATGTGAGGTGTGGTAGAAGGTGAGGAGGAGGGGGAAAAATCAAGTGTATTGGAAATATATTGGTGGGGATTAAATGAAATATACATGTTCTTTTTATCTTACTTCAAATGAACCCAAAAGGAACTTTTTAGTATGAATACAATGGGACAAAATTTCTGATCTCTGGTTTAAAAGTTTTTTTTGGTCTGGAAATGTTTTATAGCTAATTTCTCTTGTTGACAAAGGTTTCAGGTGTTGCTATGATTGTTGTAAGGATTAGCTTTTTTAAAATTTTCCAGTTTACAATCAGATCTTTTTTATTTTTCTCCTTTAATTTCCACTCATTGTTGACTAGTAGAATTTCTAAGGCTTTCTGCTTAAAAGATGACTTATGATTGTATCACCTCTTTTTAAAGTTACCCTCAGTATACCCTATATATATTTTATATATATATATATATATATATATATATATATATACATACATACATACATTTTGTTGCTTTTTTGTATTCATTCTTATGTTGCAATGAAATATATTTATTACTTATATGGACACTTTTATATATAAAATTATGTATATGGTAGATTATAAACAATAATACCCAGTTTGTTTTCAGTAGATTACTGCTCCAATTCAAACTTTTTATTGTATTGTTTTGCAATCAGATATTCTAACTCTTTCAATGCTTCAGCAAGAATAGATAATTAGAGAAGAAAATACATTTTAAGCATTTAAAGACGAATAAATAAAATTTGAAAATTAATTGAAAAAGTTGAATTCAGTGCCCACTTTCACAGAATAAATAAATATGATACTGTATGTGAGTTTGTGTATTGTCAAGTATTTCTGTATTTTCCATCATTCTCTTCTGGATAAAATCCAAAAGTTTCTATTCATTGTTTCTTGATCACTTTGCAAATATCTTACAGGAGCCTCTACCTGAAGCAACCAATCATTCTTCAACAAACTATTTGAATAAATATTGCCTATTCAGCCACACATCTTACTTTAATGTTTCTGGTGAACATTGTGAAAGATAGTTGTGTTAAGTATTCATTTCAAACTTGATTTCCATGGTTCAGTTATACTGTAATTATGACCTTACAAAAATTGAGATAATACTTTATTTGGTTGTTGGCTGGACATGAGAATACCTGCTCAAAGGTATCATATCACCTACTAACTCTATGTGGACAATGCAGTGGTGCTTTACTTCACCATACTCTTGGATAGGAACTTACTTTACTTTTGATTGGCTCAAGTTTTATTCCCCATAACACATACATTTGTAACAACCACATTATTACAGTCAAATTTGCATTTAAATTTTTTGTTATCTTCTGTTTTCTTAATTCCTGTTCTTTTATTTTCTCTTCTTAATAATATTTTCTTTTTGTCGTATTCTCTCACACTCAATAACCCCTTGTATCTTAGTGGCTTTATTGTCTTTCTTGGAGGTGAAATGATTAAAAAAACAAAAAAATTATACAATGCAACAGGCTTAATTCAAAGATATACATTTTCAATCTGCTTGGAAAGTAACATGGTATTCAAACCAGAGGTCAGTTCCTTATTTATTTCAATTTCTCTCAACTGATTCTTCAATGGCACTGAATACCAGAAGCCCAGCCACTTCACTAGCACTTCCTGTACCTGTGCGTTTATCTCTACTGCAATCTCAAAGTGAACTGCTATGCACTTGCCCTTAGAATCTTTAAAATTTAGAGGGATTGATATTGAAATATTCTACTCGACTCTGGAGTATTTTACCAGTGGTGTTGCTATCATTTCTCACCCATAGAAGTGGAGAACAGTACATTGGATTTTCACACTTTTGACTGCAGTCTCCTCAATATTTTATTATTGTAAGGCTTTATGTGTATCTATTGCACATGTGGGACTGTATTTTGGAGATGATTATTCTTACAGTATTTTTTAAAGGAATTTCAAGTCATATTTTCTGTACATTTTAACCCTTTTTTTTCAAATTTCTACAAATGGAGTTTATTTGATTAGATTTCCTACTTTTCTTTTCTAAAGCTATTGAGCACATGTTTAGTTACTATTTGCAAACATTTTCAGTCCTTCACATTATCAAACAAAAAAAAGCATGCTGAGAAATAAATAATATGCTGGTAATCATTCATTTGCTGCATTTGAATCTTGAACAAACTATTTTTAGCATGTGAACCTTTTATAAATTTATTTCTTTATATGGAATTCTTATACCATTACCTTTTTAGTAATGTCTTCAGTTTCCTTAAATGTATGGAAATAAATTATAGGGATCAATTTATTACTTTAATCTATAAATGACTGTTTTGGGTTCATTCTTGTTTTATTGATATTTTGCAAACTGATATTTCTTAACAGATCAAACACCAACTCCAACTAAATTTCTGAAGAACTGTGAAGAGATCGGATTATTTCAAGATTTAACCAAAAATCCTTTTGAAGAAGCTTTTAAGAAGGCATCTGAAACTGGTGGGCCAGATGTTTCATCTGATGTAAGACATTTCATTTTTTCATATGTTTTCTTATTTAAATTTTAAATATACATCATTAGTTTTATTTAGAACCACATAATAACAATTTTTTCCATTTGTATAGCCACCCCATCTAAAAATCAGAAAACAGATCATTTATGTTCACGTCATTTGTCAAACCATATTTCAAGGCACAGTGAATTGCATATAAAATTTTATTTTGTATTTGTTTGCATTTTCATTTTTAAAAATATTTCAAAGAACTTTTTAAGAACTTTACAATCTAATTTAAAGAATTGAAAAATCTGTCATAAGTAAACATTAAAAAATGAAGTGGCATTTATTATTATTCATTGATTTACTTGAATTAATGTCTCGATGTCGGTTGTTATAGTCATAATGCTTTACCCATTTTTTTTTTTAAGATATATTGTGATCGAAAAATATTTCTGGTCATCTCTACATATAGATTTTATATACATTTCTGAAATTAATTTCAGTTAAAATTTGTAAACTAAGTTTTAGTTGAGGAATTGTTCAAAACAAAATGGAACATTTTTCATATGTAGGCTTGAGTTGGCCAATCCTCACTTTCCCACCTTGATAGAGTTCAAGGTCATTTACATTGTCAGTGACAACTTATTTTCCACTCTATGACATCTTACCCCACAGATGCAGTGTCACAAGCCACTTGCTACTCTATTGCTATTTCTATGGCAAATGTTCAAACGAGCTCCATTCTTTAGTTCTATCAGTTCAGACATTTACAATTAAGATTCACCATATTACATTCACAGAGTTGAATCACCCGCATTCTCTCCATATTCCAATTATAAGAAGGAAGTTCTACTCGAACGCCTTTTCCCCCAAGAACCACTAATTTGTTTTCCTGAACAGTAAAATCTTAACCACTTCAAGTCAATAATTATCTTTCTTCCATATCCTCATAATGTTCACTTTTTATTTCCTCCTCTTACATTCATACCACACACCTCATTCACTAGCCCTCTACCTTGTGTTACTCTTGAACCTTGTATTTAGTGAACAGATGTTAAAAAAAAAAAAAAAAAAATTTTTTTTAAAGTTACTCCTATTGTAATAGATTTAATAAAAATCCTTATTCAAATGGCAATTGTGTATGCGTATATATAATATTTCTGCTTTTTCATTTTTTCTTTGAACAAAATTCTTCAGGTATATACACCTATTTATTTTTAATCACATGTTTTTGTAAACCAGTTTTTGTAAGTTTTATTAAATAATTTTATCTATGAAATAATTGAAATATAATATCTCTTTTCAGGCTGTTCCTTTACCGGGGCCTCATTCCAATGAAGTTCTACATACTCCTGTGGTTTCGCGACCACACAAGACTGTGGAAACTCTCAAATTGGAAAACGAGGAGATTGAGATCCAAGTTGTTGATGAATCATCCAATGAAGCCACGTCAAGAAGCTGTGTAATTCAGCAACAGCTGGAGAACAAGCGGTCAAGCCATGGAACCTCAATGGCAACACCACCTCCACCAGCTTCTACTTCAGGCACTGTTTCTGCTACACATTCCATGCCTCAGCCTACATCTACTACATCTGATGACGATGGGGTAATCATGTCAACAACTCAAAATGCTGACAGTTCTGTACCTTCAACTGATTCTGCTACTACCAGTAGCACAGGCAGCATACCAAGTGTTATACAGACCTCCTCAGCACCTATGTGAGATATTTTAATGCTATTTTATTTTTCTAATGTACATTTTCTCTCATTAAATACACTGTCTTATGCACTTGACAAAATTATCTTTAAGATTTTTTTTGACAAATGGTTTTATTACTTTTTATTTCTGATCAGTAGACATTGGACATAAAATCAGCAAAAATTCTCATAGTTGAATTTCCAGTTTTACCAAAAATCCATATGTTTGTTAGATGGTAGGTTATAATGATATAATTACAATACCAATAGGTCTTTTTTATGTTTATTGGTTATTGACAGCCAGGCTTTAAAGGAAAATTGGCAGCTCTCATAATTTAAATGTGTTTCAATGTGTCAAAGTTATGAGTTAATGAATTAACTTCAAGTGGCTGCCAATAAAGCATCTCTTTCCCTATCTGTGTTGTTTATACAGAATGCAGGGTTGTTACCAAAAGGAAGAGCACAACATGCAAATTACAAATTAGAGATATCAAAGTTAGGCAAGTACAACAATTTAGATATCTGGCAAGTGTTTTAACAGAGGACAGAGAGTGCAACACTGACATCCAAAGCTGTATTAGGATAGCAAAAAAAAAATGCCTTTCAAAAGCTAAGCAAAATATTAAGAAACAGAAAAATTTCATTAGAAACAAAGAAAACTTTATTGAACTGTTATGCAATATTAGTCTTCTTACATGGCAGTGAATGCTGGATAGTCTCTTCACAGATGAAGAAGAGACTTTAAGCAACAGAAATGTCATCCTACAGAAGTATGCTGTGAATACCATTGACTAAACATGTGAGCAATAACAAAGTTTTAGAGAAAATGGAAACAAAAATGAAGCTTTTGCTTAACATCAGAAAGGTACAGCTGAAATTTCTGAGGCACATAATCAGGAAAGAGAGCTTAGAAAATTTGGTACTCACAGGACAGATTGAAGACGATAGGGACAGAAGAAAACTATGTATAACCAACCTAGCAAGGTCTAGGAGAGATAACAAAAAGACAAAATTTATTAAGAACTACAAAAGACAAGAAATTGTGGAGAGCCACGATTGCCAACATCCTGAATAGACACAGTACATAGAATAAGTTATATTTCAGCTTTTTTTCTTAAGGATACAGAACAGAAGTTTCCTGAATGTTTAATATTTAAAACTGCTAAACAAAAACAGGGGTTAAAAAACAATTTAAAATTCCAATTTTTTTTTTAATTGGTTCTCTTTAATAAAAGTTGGAATTTATTAAAAGTAATATTTTAAATTCATTGCAACATAGTTTTTTTAGATGGGAATTAATGTTTGACTATTTTCCTGTGTCTACTTATTAATCAATGATATTCATTTCACTTGAAACATTTAGTTCAGAATTGGCTTTTGAGTTGGATAGAATCTTTTAGTAAATTGCTTGAAAATCAATCTGTTCATTAGAGTCAAATAACATTTTTATATTAAAATAATACTAGTCTGTGAATTTCTTTTGAAGCATCGTCATCATTCATTTTTTATTAGTCTTTTATTATATCTCTTGTATAACAGTGAAAGTTATAAAAAAAAGCAACAGAAATAAAGTGAAAGAAAGACTAGTCAAAAATTAATAATATAAAAGGTTTTGTAAAAAAGTTAGTTTCTTTTTAATTTTATCTATGACTGGTGTTTAGACTTTGTATTTCTTCTCATTTTCAGTTTATCTCCAAACATTATTTCATCCACTCAGTATACAATGCAAGTGTACCTCCAACTGCCTACAGGGCAGACAGTTCCTGTACAAATCCCAGCCACCATCACAAATTCAGCCATGCCAATGGCTTCCATACCTGTCCCAACTATTTCTCCTAAGTCTTCATCAGCAACTGTGGCTTCTGCTGCTGCTGCTGCCACTACCTCCTCATCATCAGGACTAAGTCAGCCGTCGTTAGCCAAGCAGGTAATGACAACATTGCTTATATTTTATCCTCTCTTTTTATAAACATTCAACTGCATGAACATTAACATGCACAAAGAATGCTTAAATGATTTTTCTTTTGACATTTTTATTGTTGCTAAAGAAAATGTACAAAATATTTTAATCTGAAAATATGCAAAATGTACAGTGTGTATGTGTGTAAAAGTGAAACTTTGTAAGAGTTTAATTTGTTTTTTGTTTTGTAATAAATCAATTTGTAATGAAATCACTTTACCATGAAAGGTAAGAATAGAAAATGCACTGTGTATAATTTTGGTGAAATACCATTTTATGCAATATACAGTAACTAAATTCTTGTAAAACTGTCTTGTAATATGAAAGGTAAAATAGCATTTTCAAGTAAACTATGTTGTAAATTGATCAGTTGATAACTGCATTGCATGACAAATTAGTAGATTCATTGCATCATAATCTTATTTAATATTTTTTACTCTTCCACTTACATTATTATTAATTTATTACAACAAAATATGATCGAAATTTACATCGTGATGGTTGGACACACATTTCTGAGTTTGTTTCTTGTTAGAAAAAATAGCACATTTTTGTTTTTGGTATAAAATATCTCATAGAAAAACTTCTACAAAATAAAAATTATTCAAAAAGAAAAATTGCAAATATTACCTATAAAAGACAAGTTTCCAAATATACCTTTATTTGGTAGGAAGAAAAATAATTGATTTTATATTAAAAAATAATCAGTCTTGTATTGTAAGTTAAAAAGGCAAAATAAAGAATATAAAAAAAATGTATTGCTGAGTTATGTCACAATGAAGTAACCGTGTCTTAAAAAACTAATACAAAATTAAAACAAAAAATGCTCATTTTTCAGTAATTTTGATTTTTAAGCTTTATCTCTCTATGAAAAAAGTGTTTTAAAAAATCAAGTAATAGATACATTTTAATAATTTTTGTAAGTGCATCCTGAATCATAGTTAAAACAGAAAATATTATTTTCTGGTAGAAATTAAGTTTTTTAAGATTTAAAAAAAAAAATTTTGTTTTTACAAAGTTAATTTTTTTGATCTCTTTTGCAAAATGTTTACTTATTGTCATATATGCTTGGTATTATAAAATAAGACTATTACTGCAGGAGTTAATCTTTAAGCAAAAATTTTATCCTACCACTACAAGTGACTTAGATGAATGTATGATAGCTTGTTTGAATTTTGCAGTTGTGTTGTCATATCCTTCTATAGCAACAGAAAAATTACTATAACTGAAGATAAGTAGTGCAGTAGAGCAGCCTTGAAAAACAATGCAGTGGAAAGGAAAGTAGTGAATAATGCAGTATGTTTTTCTTTCCCAGACATTTAATAGGCTGTGATGAAAAAAAAATAGTGCTTGGAAAAAATGGTTATAAATAAGAACAGACTTTTGAACATTTGAATAATTTTGTCTATGCTTTGTTGTGACATACAGATCTCGTATTAAGAAAGGTTGGGATTTTTAAGAAAAATAGTCTTACTTCTTACAAAACACACTTTTGGTAGAAAGTTGAAAAAAATCTGAATTATAAATATTTAAAACTAAGAATGAAACTATCTAGACTAAAGATTTAACACAGGAATTTACATATTTTGTATAATATATGAAATTATAATATTTATAATATGAAATGATTGGTGAATACTTGGAGAAAATGAATATAGCACAAGAAAGAGGCAGAGGATATGGGAGATTGTGTGATGAGCAATGGACAGTTGAATGGTCCTGAAAGGGATAGCCTCTCATGTTAAAGAACAATGTTAACTGTTATGAGCATTCCCAGAAGAGTGGGAGGGGCAAGATTTGAATTTGAGGAAGTGACTAAGGGAGCAAGAGAAGGCAGAAAGTGGCATGTTGATGGTAGTACAGCCAACCCCAAAAATAATGTCTGACCAGTGTTTGATTTTTGAGAATTGAATATCTGTGTGGCAAACAGCACAGGTGTATTTGAAGAAACCTTGCAAGAGTGGAAACAAATAGCAGAGGCTTTAACAATTGTTGATTTGAAATCCCCCCCACCTCTTTGTGTGACTGAGTATTGTAGCATATCTACGGATAATAATGGGTACGTCTCCATTCACATAAATACAGTAGTAAATACTGTATGTTGGTCTGCAGTTGGAGATTTGTTTCCAGCTATGCTGGTCAAACTCTGCCTCTGGGCAGAGAGGATCTCTAGACAAGGCTATATCAAAGGGCAGAGTCTTGTCTTGGGAAACAGCTACCCGACCCCGTTATATACAGGGTTTACAAGGAATTTTTGGCTGAGCCTACATGCTCAGATGCACCACGTTAAACTTGTGCCACATCTGACTACATGGGGTGGTTGGTAGATATCCTACAGTTGGAGATTCATTGTAGAATTCAGTTGACTCACTTCTAGCAGTTAACTACTTCTTCTATGTGCATCAGGTGAATCTTATATGTGTTGTTCTAGTCCCAAGTATTATCGTTCATTACCCACCTTTGTGTGATTATTCTATTCAGTAACCTTCCCAAGGTTATAACACTGAGAAACTGTATAGATACCATCTTATGAATTACAAAGTCAAAACAAACATAATATTGAGTTAGGTTGGGTTTTGCATTAAATTTTGAACCCCCAAATCATACCGACTGTTTTCAACATGATATTAGGATGGTGTAAAATGAGGTTACTAACTTTTACATAGATGATATATTGGGGAACAATATTTAATCATTTAAAGAAATTTAAGTTGAATGCAAGACTGTTGGACCCATTGTCAAAAGTAGTAGCTTTGGGGTTCAGTTTCATGAAAGACAAGGTGTGTCAGCTGTTTTTCAAGAGAAATAAGATCCCAAAACTGAAAGACAATCCAAGTCGTCAGGAACTGTTCTCTATATGCAAATGGATAGTGGCTCCAAACTACTTATAACTGTTAAAAGAAAATCTGTAGGAATGAGCTGATTAGATGAAATTAAATATGGCTATTGTTTCATTGAGAGGTATTTGGTAAGGGATGAGATGGAGTTGGAATGTGCCTAAATCAGAAAAAAAAGAGATGATGTTGTGTGATGTTAGTAGTTTGACAACAGTTGTCATTTTAGAGATAGGTAGAGTAAGATACTAAATGACTGAAGAAAGGAGGATTTCAATCAGTTGAAAGGCATTAAATTGGCTTTAATGTGGGGATTGTAGGATATTGATTTACTGATTTTGTCTATTGTGCTTAGATGAATGAAATTAGTGATTACTGCTGAGAACTTGAATAAAAGGAGTAGTAGAGATGATTATTAATCAACATTTAGGAATTCTAGAACTAATTTCTGAATTTAATCAAAAACAGCATGTAACATTTCTGCTCTTGGAGAAGAATAAGATGGCTGTTCTCACTAGATTGAGAAAAACCTGATTGAGAGAACTAAAATACTTAAAGTGTATATGGTATATAGTTTGGGAGACCTGTATCTAATGAAAACTGCACAGTATGCTTCATTAGGAGGTGGCTAGGATTCTATTTGTAGCCAAGAAAGTTGATACTGATGTAACTAAGGAGGCTGTTTGTCAATTGGTCAGAAATTGTGTGTCAATGAATCCTATACTGAATGTGCAGGAGATAAGACAAATTCAAACGGCTGTTGATGTGACTCATTCTCAGCATAGGTTATAGATCTCTTTCAGTAATTCATTGTGAGCTTAGAAGAGTAGCCATATAGAAGGAGATTAGGATGGATACTTTGAGCTGAAATTGTTGGAGGTGCTCAATGGGATATTACTGGAGAGAAGACTGTAGTTATTTAAAGAGAATTGCTTGATGGGTAGAATGTAAAACACTTTTCAGAGCCACATATAAAACAAGAAGTAATAGAATTTTTAGAGGGATACCACTAAACATTCATGGCTGAAAGGGAGTATATCTCACTGATTAAGGTTGTTCATTCGATCAGGATGGGTTGAGAACTCAGTGCCTCAGAGAGCAGTATTTATGTATGAATAGATATCTTCACACACTGGAACCACTGGGGAAGGACCTCCAGACTGGAGATGTGTAGATAAAGTCACAAAATGCATGTTGGAAGGAAAGGTGATGCATTCATTCTCAGAATAATATCTCTGTTGATTGTGTAGCTCATCATTTTTGGAATATTTGCATGATTGTTAGTTCATTGAATGATGGTCATAAAAGATGATGAAGCAAATATTATAGTCTCACAAAGATATCAACATTCACCTTAGTGGATGAACAACTGGAGTGGCATAATTAGGATTAAACCAGGTTCATTTAATTATAAATAGGTTTAAATAGAAATGGAGTTTGTTTTTGTTAACTTTTTTCAGCTTGCTTTATGGGTACAGTGATTTTAAAATCAGGGAAGGAGTGAATTATTTAAAGGGAAGAGCAGCAGATCTGAAATTCTGCTACAGAATGGTTTATTTTGCCAGTATACTGAAATTGTTTCCCCTTTTGGCTACTAGAACTGCATGGCATTTTAGTGTCCTTGTACCTGGGTTGGTTTATTATTATTGTTTTTGTTTATTCTTTGCATGCACTCCACTGGTTGAGTCCTGTTTGTTTTTCTTGTTTCTATTTAACTACAGTAACCAGAGGATAGTCCTGCAAAAAACATCTTTTTAGTCATATTCTAAGTTGTAATGATAAAATTACAAAGCCAATAATAAAAAGAGTCACTCTGTTAGATGTTTGTTATAAAGTTCCCAACTGTTAGACTTATAATGAAAAGATGATGGCTTCTGAAGACCATTAAATATGCTTCCATGTGTTGAAATTAGTAGTAGCAAAGATTAACAGAAACATTTCCATCTCTTTGAAGCTCATCATTTAAGTGATTTTTAAGGTTGTTTCTTAGGGATATGTTATAACATTTTTTAATGTTTTATTTGTAAAATTAATGAAAAACATATTTACAAATTTTTATTCAAAACATTTTCATTAACTTTTGTAGAAATAATTTTTAAAATGGTTCAAATTTTATGAAAAATCCAATGCTTA